AGCCATCCTGCGAATCGCCGAACTCCGACAAATCCCACGAGTCCAGTCCATCCTCGTCTCCCGCCTCATTCTCCTTCTTCTCCTCCTCCTCCTCCTCGTCGTCGTCATCGCCATCGCCACCGCCGCCGCCCAGCCCCAACCCCGCGCCCCCACCCCCCGCACCCTTGTTTTCCTTTGCTGGGGCACCGTCGGCACCCTTGCCCCCGCTCGAGCCCCCGGAGGACGATTGGGCGGAGCCCCCTGCGGCCGCGGCGGCGTCGCCCGACTCTGCACGATTGCCGTTCAATTCATGCATAGACAGAAAAGCGTCGAAAAACCACTAAACAAAAAAACAGGGCAAAAGCGGGGAGATGCGTTTTTTTCGCTTGAGTGAGTCACACCAGAACGTCGGGCGACAACGGCCAATCGGCACAATGCCCCTCGAAGCGCTCAAGACACACGGATAACAATGGGACGATGCACCGACGGAAACACGGTGAGTTGAGTTACGGTATGCCCCGGTGTAACCAACGCCGGAACTAGCGTGGTAGCGGGATTGAGCCATCCAATCCCTGATCGGCACGAAAGCCAGCTGGCGTTACGGTCTGCAGTGCACAACAATAGACACAATCGAGGTCAACCAATCCACCATGAAAAACTGTTCAGGTGCCATACAAAGATAAATGCCGATGCAACAGCAGTTACAATACAGCATCGGCCCGATCACAAGAGACCAAAACAACACACTTGGCTCAGACTAACGTTCGTCTACTGGGCGAAGGCCGAGCACGAGGCTGTCAGATGGCATAGTTCAGTGGAACTCGCTCTGACGCTCGATTCAGCCACGCTTTCGTTCCTTCGACCATCCCATGATCTGTCCGACATCGCTTCTATCATTATACTGTGTCGACAAACTGCCTGCAATCAAGCCTTGAACGTGGTCGTTTCAATACACCAACGTACAACTCGCTCCTGGGAAGCACATTTATTCATGCACGGCTTCAGTCCCACATATCTCGAAGCGACAAACGGTCGGGTTTTCGTCTGGTGGGTCGTGTGCGGTGTAATCCCCTACCGTGAGCAAGGCTCGACGGCATCACCAGTCGCGGACATCTCTCTCACCCTCCGTGCCGCCTTCCCCCTCTCGGCCCGCCCCCTTGCTCAAGTTAGTCAACACCGTCCGCGCGTAGCTCCAGCCACCCAGCTGCGTCTCCATCCCTGAAGAGTTACGCCGCATTTAACGGTTGCGCGACGACGACGACGAGGGAAGGTGACGCACGATAAGAGTCGGCGGGGGCATGGGCGCAGGAAAATCCTGGAATGAGATAGCGTTTCAGTGGCACCATTGACGGGCGGGACAAAGAGTCAGGCGCGAACTCGTCTGTCGGGTGTTGGCGGCTACGGCACAAGCGGATCACCCTTTAGCTGCGGCAGAGGGCAACGAGCGCAAAGGCCCGTGCCGTGCTGGCGTGTCCCAGTGGCCTGGTATGGGTAAGGTCCTCAAAATATCTCGCGAGGCTTGGTTACGCCGGAGCTCGGACAGGCCGGGGGCGGGGCCAAGTGGTCACTGGGCTCCCCTCTTGGAACCTCTTCAGAAGGTGTTTACGCCAGGCCGTGACGGCAACAACAGCCCAAGTTTCACAGAGAGAAAACAGCGGACACCTTTATGGGCAACCAACCACGAATGTCAGCAGCAAGTTGAGGGTGTGTGCGAGAGGAGGACCGGGGGGGGGGGGGGGGGGG